TGTGAATCCCCACAGGCAACGGACGTGGCTGGCGCTCCGTCCTTGGCCGTCGATGTGCTGGCCGCCCGGGATGTTTCCCGATAGCAGCCGGACTTATCCAGGTGTTTCCATTAGACGCAGGAAAACGTGGGGGGTTTTTTTTTCACTCCTCTGTCACTAGAAACGAGACTTTGAGAGACGACGTTGCTCCTGAGAAGATCTGACACCCGCAGGGTTACCCTCTCTGCGAGGCGCTGGCTTGTCTCACCTCTTTCCCAACGCTGTTTCCCTGCAGTCGTTGCCGAAGGGATGGCTCCGCCACGAAGGATCCTCTTTCCCCCGGAGAAGATCTGCCTGAACTGGCAGCAGCGCCGGGGCGCCGGAGCAGGACTCTACAACTTGGGCAACTCGTGCTTCCTCAACTCCATCCTGCAGTGCCTGACCTACACCCCGCCTCTGGCCAACTACCTGCTCTCCCGGGAGCACAGCCAGTCGTGTGAGTGCTTCCACGGACATCTCCGTGTCAATCGGTTGCGCGCGCTCCAAGGGGTTCCCAGAGTCTGGGATTTGATTGAGGAGAAAAGCGGCCCTTCTCTGTCCGCGCCCCCACCCCCCCCACCCCCGAATGGGGTGTCCTTAGGACACTCAAGCCTAGACGCCGCTTGTCGTACCTAGGTGCGTTCACCTCCAGAAAAGCACCTCTTCCTAGCCCCAATTCCTGAGGCTCTTTGCTTACGGCACAGAAAACCCTGGTCAGGTCAGCCATCCCTCCGAAGAAAGTTTTCTCCCGGCCTTCTTGGCGCCTTGGGGGGGGGGAGCGGAGATTCCTCTGAGAACGTCGAGATCGCCGTTAGGTTTCCCATCCCTGAGGCTCTTGGGCTAACCGGAGGCGCTCCTTCCCTCCCTCCTCCCTCTTCAGGCCTCCAGCAACAGACCTGCGTGATGTGCACGGTGGAAGAGCACATCAACAAGGTCCTGCGCTGCCCGGCCAACGCCGGCCGTCCCATGGCTGTCGGCAACGTCCTCAATCGTAAGTCGCTTCTGGCGCTTTTACCCTGTTTTCCCTTCCTTTCTCGTGGGAGAGAATGACTAACTTCTTCTTTACTTAGTGATGGGAGATCATTTCCAGTACGGCCAGCAGGAAGACGCCCACGAGTTCTTCCTCTACACCGTCAACGCCATGCAGACAGCTTGCCTGCGTGGAAGGAGCAAGTAAGCGCAAGCAGATGACTTTTCCAACATTCCCGAGCCCTTGGGAGTACTCTCCCGAGTACTCCCGTCAAGGAAACCCTACGACCAGGGCTTTCAGACAAAGCAAAACCCTCGGAGGAGACAACTAACCCTCTGCCTTACCATTCCTTTCCAGCTTGGACGCCTCTTCTCAGTCGACCACCGCCATCCATCAGATATTCTGGGGCTTTCTGAGGTCCAGAGGTATTTTCCCACAACCCCCCCTCGGGATCGCCGGTGCCCTTCTGCCTGCCTGGGGTCAACCACTGGCGCTCTGACTGGCGTGGTCGGCGTGGAGAGCGCAAGCCGGCACGGCCAGTCGACTTCCCCTGTCGCTGAGCACTTCGATTTGCCTTCCAGTCACGTGCCTGAGCTGCAGAGCCGTTTCCGATTCCTACGAGGCCTTCCTGGATGTCCCTTTGGATATCAGAGTAAGAGGCTCTGTAGTTGCGCTTCCAGACGTCCCACGGCCCCCCTTAGCTTTCCGGAATCCACGCCGTGGCCTTCAACGCCTCTAGTGCGAACGCAGGAGGGTTGGGCGGCGGGTGGGTCTCGGTGGTGCCGTCCCCCCCGCACCCGTCGGGCTCCCAGCCCGGGCTGATGGGTTGTACTGGTTTCATCACGGATGACCCCGCACACCGTCGGGAGCCGAGCTGAGCGGTGCCACAGCGCCGCGGCTCCTGACGGCCCCCCCGGGAATCGCTGGGAATTGAGGGGCTGTTCAGCCAAACACCCTCGTTCTGCCTCCTCCTGGGCACGGCTCGCGGGCTCACGGCGCCTCTCCTCGGCACCACCGGCCTGGGTTTTGGCACAAACGCCCCGGGTTTTGGCACAAACGCCCCGTGAGAGCTCGGGCGAGGATGTTTCCCAGAGCTCGGCGCTCTCCTTTCTCGCTCCGCCAGGCAGCCTCGTCCGTCACCGCAGCCCTGAAGGGCTTTGTGGAACCCGAGCGGCTGGATGGCCAAAACCGCTTTAAATGTGCCAGGTAAGACGGTCGCCGAGGCCGTTGCGAACACCAGATCCTGCCGGCAAGGCGCTGCGCGGCACCGGAGCGCACAAACGACCTGTTCCCCCTGGGGTTTTGCGCGCGACGGTGAGACGCAGCTTCTCTTCCTCACGGTGCCGAGTAGCCTCGAAAGGGCGGGGAGGGGGCGGCCTGGCCTTCTGGCGGCGAGAAGGTTGCGTCCCAACCCCGGGGCTCTGTGCTCGCTTTCCAGCTGCAACAAGATGGTTGTCGCCTGCAAGAAGCTCACCCTCCATCACGCCCCCAACGTCCTCACGCTGTGCCTGAAGAGGTTCGACGATTTCACCGGCAGGAAGATCTGCAAGGTGCGGCCGCCGCCGGGGCGCGCCCGCCT